TTTTGCAATATCGAATATAACGTTGAGCATTTGATACTGAAATGCAAATTCATATTCCATTAGAGAATATTGAAAACAATTTAGAATAATAATAATAACAATACAATGACAACAATAATACCACCACACAATTAAACAATAACATTGAGAAACAAATGAATGCATTTCGTATGACATCAGTAAGACTAAAATAAAAATAACCTGAATTTTCATGTCACCTTCGTCGACCGCCTTCTTCAACACGGGTATCATCAGATCCATAATAACATCCCTTTCATAGAGCACATGATACTTCGTATAGACATTATGCAATATACTCACTGCTTTTTCACTGAAACACAATTTGTATTGAACTGATATTACCTAAAAATCGAGTTGATTCATCTTCAGTTGATGTTCGATAAAACTAATCAACAGATTGAAACTATAAGAAAATTTTAATTTCAGTTATTTCCTTCATTAAGCTGAACTACTGACATATCAACTAATATCTTATTTCAGTCCCTCTCCCTACAAACCATTCAGCTATGATAATAAAATTACCGCACTGCCGGCGAGTTCTCCTCCATCAGATATCGCTCCACCAAATCAGCCATCGAACACAACCACTTCGCTGACAGCGGATCAATTGACTGCAGAATAAACACTCCAATCAAAATATGCTAACAGAAAAATTAATAACTAAAACAAAACTACACACTCAATCAAAACAACTACCAAAAAATAAACAACAACAATAAACAAAGAATATAAACTCAATAAAACCCCTCACATTCGCCCTATAATCCATCAGTGCCAGCACACTACACGTCGGTCGTTCATCGGCACAACTCTCGATCAACGCGTACATCTGCTCTGTTGATCCAGCATACTCCCCGTCGCGATTCAACTCCTCGACAATATCGATCAACTGATGCAATTGTTTCGATAATTCGACGCGTTTATCTTCTTCTTTTATCTAAACATCATCACTATTACATTCATTTCTGCATACACCATTTCAAATAAACTACTATTCAAATTATTTACCTATGACATCGAACTGAATGCAAACTACAATTGCATTTCATTATTTGTTTATTTCACAGTCATTTTAATTATTTCAATTCAACTGTTATTTCAATTATTCAAACTACAAATTTTCATTGCTCTAAATCCAATTTCAATAACATCTCAATGAAAACAATCTCAATTTTCGCGTTTCAATTCAATATTCAAAAAATTACAATGGGAATTTGATAACCCATTGAAAACGCGTAAAGAAACTGACCACTCGACACAGTCTCACTGCCTTGGAGAGTAACTGCAGAACGGTATGCCAACTCAACTGCTGCAGATCTTTACCGTACTTTGCAAGTAAACGTTTCATCGAAATGAACACCTCGGCCATCACTAGAGGTCCTCCCTCCATTCCACACGATAGCGCCGGTATTACGGCACCCGGCTGGCATCGTAACGTTTCAACACGCTACAAAACCAAGACAACTGGATTATCATTTATCACATCTCAAATAATCTAAACAAAGCGGATTCCTTTTTGTTAATCTCTACATGATAAAAACCGAAAAAGGATAAAAACTGGAATACAAAAATCGAAGTGCATTAAATCAGATCACACCTGACTTCCCCACAACGCCACCGATACAGCCGATACCGCGCCCACAACCACGTTCGGTCTCGGGCACAATTTCCCCTTGGCGATAATCTCGATCAGGTACCCGAGTGCCGTATGACCCGACCTCGATCTCAACAAGTCTCGCATTAGTCCCCATGCCCTCTTACCCAAATGCTTCACCGTTATCACCGTACACAGCGTTGTGACCAGCGTGAATAATTCCCCATCCGGTATGTGCCTATAATAATAATACATAACAATGATACGATAAATAAAGATATGACAATGATAATGACGATATGATAAATAATGATATATAACGATTTCTAACAAAACAATAACAAACAATATAACTTACAGCAGTAATAATAACAATAATCAAAAGCAGCTCTACTGTCCCAATCATTGCTACGAGATGATATTGTACACAATCGAAAATGAACAAATACGAATGATATAAAACCATAATCGAAATCAAACACGAAATAAAACTCATTCAAAAACGAAAATCTTCTATGAACGCACCCAAATTTGAGAATCACCTCCAGCAGTATCATACACTCCAG